AAAAAAAAAAGAAAATTGTAATTTAATCAATACACTATAAGTAGGGACTGAATCACACGCATGCATGTCTATTAGCACTACAATGTGCTGGAGTTTAGCTCCTCATACCTTCCACTTTTCACTGTTTTTGAGCCTCCCTTCCACAGTGGGCCTTTATATGTAGCTTTTCTTTTTCCCTTTTTTTTGGGTCAGTTGTGGGGCTTGAACTCAGAGCCAGGGCACTGTCCTCCTCAGCTACTTTTGCTTAAGGCTAGCGCTCTACCAGTTGAGCCACAGCACCACTTCTGGCGTTTTCTGTGTATGTGGTGCTGAGGAATCAAACCCAGGGCCTCATGTGTGCAAGGCAAGCACTTACCACTGAGCCACCTTCCCAGCCCAGCTGTAGCTTTTCTTTTGTTTGAGTAGTATCTTGTCTTGAACTCAGATGTGGCCTTATGCCCAATCAGCTTTCTTACTCACAGTTTATCTACTACTTGAGTCGTGCCTCCAGTCTAGCATTTTGCTGGTTAATTAGAGATCCAGCCTTGCAAACTTTTCTGCTGGTCAGACTCTGAACCTCAATCCTTAAGGTCTGAGCTTCCTGAATAGCTAGTATTACAAATATTAACCACTAGCACTTAATTCTATGTAGCATTTTTGCCATTCAAGCATTTATTAGCTCTACATTTGACACCCAGTTTACTCTTGACAATCACTTGGGATTAGCAATAGAGAATAACTCATAGCATTTTTGTTGGGAGGAGTGATTAGGGGAGGGGCAAGGGAGAGTGTGTCGTGTGTTATATTTGGTGAGAGAAATTCAGCATCCTTTCCAGTGGACTTTCCAGTCCTGAAGAGGCTAGAAGAGTAAACATCATGCTGCCCACACTTGTAATTCGTGCTCTGGATGTGAACTAGATTCCCCATCCCCTCTTATTTAAGATGTGGGTGGGGCCAGGTGCTGGTTGCCCACACCTGTAATCCTAGCTACTCAGGAGGCTGAGATCTGAGGATCGAGGTTTGAAGCTAGCTGGGACAGGCAAGTTTCCCCACACCCCCTCCAACCCCATGAAACTCTTATCTCCAATTAACCAAAAACTAGAAGTGATCAGAGGGGCCTATCAGCTGCACTAGACATTGATGAAAATGAACTAAGCAACTCAAAGGCAGTGATGGGAGGGAAAGAGGGAACATCTAACCCTAAGCAAAAGGAAAGAAATGTACATATCACCCAATGCGAAAGAAATAGTTGTATTGTCAAAGCTTATAGAATTCACAACCTTTATAGATCAAGATAATGACAGTTTGCCTTGTGAAGGTTAAAGTGGGTTTGTAGACTTTTAAGTATCACTATCCTACAATACTGTGAAATGTGTGAAATTTATGTAATCACTTAATCTAAAAAAAATTATTAAAAAAAACTGGAAGTGGTGCTGTGGCTCAATTGGTAGAGTGCTAGCCTGGAGCACAGAGAGGCTCAGGGACAGAGTCCAGGCCCTCAGTTCAAGCCCTACAACCAACCAAAAAAAAAAAAAAATGTGGTGACTAACATAAAGTGGAGTGGATGGCTTCATTTCTTGGCCTTTTCTGCAAGTATGCTCATATAGACAGTGAATTTTCATGGTCATATAGATAATATATCTTATAATACGTGGTTGTATGGTAATGTTCTATAATTTGTCTGGTGGAAATAGATAAAAAGTGTGGCTTCTAGATGTTCAGGGTGGGAGATTGGTTCTGTTTGTCTGTGTCCACGTGCATCAGTACTGGGCTTGAATTCAGGGCCTGGGTACCGCCCTTTAGCTTTGTTGCTGACACTCTACTACAGCTCAATTTCCAGCCTTTTGGTGGTTAAATGGAGATGAGACTCTCATGAACTTTCCTATCTGGGCTGGCTTCAAACTGCAATCCTCAGATGTTAGCCTCTTGAGTAACTTAGAATTACAACCATGAGCCACCAGCACCTAGCTTCTTGAATGAACGCTTAAAAAAGATTCCTCTGATTTAAATTTCCTAGTTAGTTATTTTCAGCTGAGTTATAACTACATGAAAACAAAAACGATTGATTTTTGTATTTCAGGAAAATTCACGAATTGTGAGGGTGAAAGTTATAGCTGGAATAGGCCTTGCCAAGAAAGACATCCTGGGAGCGAGGTAAGTGTGTCCGATTGCAAAGGTGAAACCTTTGCATTGGTTGATTAGCATTTTCTTTTTTCTAAACTCTAGTTCAGTGATCATTTGAATATTATTAGTAAATACATGTGCAAATTTACTAGAATAGCAGATCTCCAGGGTTAGTGTTGTTCTTTTTGTCTTCGGTTGTGGGGCTTGAACTCTGGGTCGGGATGCTGTCCCTGTGCTCTTCAGCTCAAGGTGAGTGCTTTACTACTTGAGCCACAGCGTCGCTTCTGGTTTTCTGGTGGTTAATTGGAAATAAGAGTTTCACAGATTTTCCTCGTCTGAGCTGGCTTTGAACCACGATCCTCAGATCTCGACCTCCTCAGTAGCTAGGATTTTTTTTGGGGGGGTCGGTCATGGGGCTTGAACTCTTGGGGCTGAGCACTGTCTCTCAGCTCTTCAGCTCAAGGCTAAAGCTCTAGCGCTTGAGCTACAGCGCCACTTCCTGTTTTCTGGTGGTTTATTGAAGATAAGAGTTTCACGGACTTTCCTTCCCCGGGCTGGCTTTGAACCGAGATCCTCAGATCTCAGCCTCCTGAGTAGCTAGGATTACAGGTGTGAGTCACCAGTGCCTGGTGTGTTAGTGGTTTTTTAACTAAATCTTTTGGTATTGGAATTTCTGCATTTGTCCAGTAGTGGTGGTTGGATTTACTATTGAGCTCTGCCTCCAGAAGTTCATAAAACTCAAAAGACATAAATTATAAAATTTAGCCACAGAAGTTATAGAAATTTTGGCTATTCATATTTAGTAACCCAGTAAAGAAATTAAACTTGTTAAAAGCTTTCCCACAAAGTAAATTTGAGGCACAGTGGCTCCCTGGATACTTCTATCAAACACATAGGCAAAACTAACATGAACTCAGAAAATGAGATACTTGTAACCGTTTTGTTAGATCATTTAACTTTGATCCCTAAACCAGAAGAAAGCATCTGAAGAAAACCAAAGACTGACACTGCTCATGAATATAGATACAAATTCTCACTAAACTTTATTTGTGTGTGTGTGTGTGTGTGTATGTATGTGTGTGTTGATCCAGGGGCTTGAACTTGGACCTGGGAGCTGTCTTTTGAGCTGTGTGATCTACCACTTGAGCCACAAATCCACTTCTAGCTTTTTTGGTGTTTAATTGGAGATAAAAGAGTCTCACAGAGGTTAGGCATGTGGCTTACTGGTAGAGTGCTTGCCCAGCATGCTTGAAGCTCTGGGTTCGATCCCTCAGTACCGTGTAAGCAGAAAAAGCTGGAAGTGGTGCTGTGGCTCTGGTGGCCTTGTGCAAAAGAAGCTCAGGGGTAATGCCCAGGTCCTGAGTTCAAGCCTTAGGACTGGCGAAAAAGGGGAGTCTCACAGATTTTCTGCCTACACTGGTTTCAAACTGCAATCCTCCTATTTCAGCCTTCTGAGTAACTGGGCTTACAGCCATGAGCCACCAGCATCTGGACTGTTCAACCTTTTTTTTTTTTTAGAAGTGGAGTACCTATAATTCTAGCTACCCAGGAGGCTGAGATCTGAGGATCACAGTTCCAAGCCAGCCTGGGCAGAAAAGTCTGTGAGACTCTTATCTCCAATTAAACAACAAAGAAGTTGGATGTAAAACTACATTTCAAGTGGTAGAGCCCTAGCCTTGAGCAAAAAGAAGCTCAGAGACAGTACCTGCACTCTGAGTTCAAGCCCCAGGACCTGTACACACACAGAAAAAAAATTAAGATAGATTTATTATATTCGTATAGTAAAGAAGAAAAATGGGCCAGTGCCAGTGGCTCATGCCTGTAATCCTAGCTACTCAGGAGGCTGAGATCAAAGCCAGCCTGGGCAGGAAACTCCATGGGGCTCTTATCTCCAATAAACCACTAGAAAACCGGAAGTGGTACTGTGGCTTAAGTGGTAGAGTGCTAGCTTTGAGCTGAAGAGCACAGGGACAGCACCCAGGCCCAGAGTTCAAGCTCCACGACCGACCAAAAAAAAAAGGTATAGTGGAAGAAAATCACATAATTAAATTCAATTGGGGCATAATTTAACAAATCCAACACCCAGTCATGATAAAAAATTACTGAGCAAACTTAAGATGAAAAGTTGGTTTAATGTCTGGAAAATTAATTTAATTCACTGTAGAAATACAGTTTAAAAAACAAAGGAGGAGGCTGCAATGCTTGGTAAGAAATGTACGCATTATCCTGCCCATGTAATTGTAACTCCTCTGTACAGCATGTTCACAAATAAAATAAAATTAAAAAAAAAAAAAAGAGGAGCCAGGTGCCAGTGGCTCATGTCTGTAATCCTAGCTAGCCAGGAGGCTGAGATCTGAGGATCGAGGTTCAAAGCCAGCCTGGGCATGAAAGTCCATGAGACTTCTGTCTCCAATAAACCACCAGAAAACCAGAAGTGGCACTGTGGCTTAAGTGGTAGAGTGCTAGCCTTGAGCTGAAGAGTGCAAGGACAGTGCTCAGGCCCAGAGTTCAAGCCCCATGACTGACCAAAAAGGAGGAGGAGGAGGAGGAAAGGAGGAAGAGAAGAAGAAAACAGTTTTTTTAGACAGTGTCTCTTTATAATAGTCCAAACCTATAGCTTAGTCTCACTTAGTACTAGAATTACAGGTGTGAACCACCATACTCAACTGGTTATAATTTTTTTTTTTCTGATCAAGCTGCTAATTTTTATTTTTCACACAGGGGTATTTATATGCTTAGAATAAGGAAACTTTTTCATTGGCCATAGCAGCTGCAGGATGTTTGCTTAGGGCAGTGTGAAAAGGTGGTCGTTAGCAGCTACCTGGTGTTTGTTTGGGGCAGGATGAAAGCTCAACTGGTTATAATTTTTAACAGACTGTAGAGATGACTATAATTGCTTACTTTACATACAGAATAGCAGGGAAAATAATTGAAGCATTTCTTCACCAGGAAAACTCTGTGGTTAATTTGCATAGTCTAAGATTGGGCTAAGTAACAATTAAACCTTTTTCTTTTTTCCTTTTCTGTTTTTAATTTAACAGTGATCCTTATGTGAAAGTGACGTTATATGACCCCATGAATGGAGTTTTTACAAGTGTGCAAACAAAGACCATTAAAAAGGTGAGACTTGGCAGTACTCAAAAAACATTTTAATGGACTTTTTTTAATGACAAACTATAAAAAATAGTTATATTATATTTATTATCTTTTAGTCTTTGAATCCAAGATGGAATGAAGAAATACTGTTCAGAGTAAGTACAAATATTTTTCTCCATAGGTTAGAATTCTGAGGTTCTCATTTAGCACATTCAGAAATATGCCTTAGAGGTTTTATTTTTTTTATAGAATGTTACCATTTTAAAAAGAAAATTAAGGACCCCCTTCCATGATTAGTTTTCCTGGAAAAAATATATATAACCTTTGTCGAAAAACGAACTTTACAACTTTGGTGGGGGAGGAAGGGAGGGGGGGAGCGCGGATACAAAGGGACGGGAAGGGGAAACAAAGCAGGAGGCTACAATGCTTGATAAGAAATGTGTTCATTGCCGGGCTGGTGGCTCACGCCTGTAATCCTAGCTACTCAGGAGGCTGAGATCTGAGGATCGAGGTTCAAAGCCAGCCCGGGCAGGAAAGACCGTGAGACTCCTATCTCCAATAAGCCACCAGAAAACCGGAAGTGGCATTGTAGCTCAAGTGGTAGAGCGCTCGCCTTGAGCTGAAGAGCTGAGGGACAGCGCCCAGGCCCAGAGTTCAAGCCCCACGACCGACAAAAAAAAAAAAAAGAAATGTGTTCATTATCTTACTCACGTAATTGTAACCCCTCTGTAAAGAATTTCACAATAAAAATATATTAAAAAATAAAAAATAAACCCATTGGCTTATGATTTTACAATTAAAAAAATATAACCTTATATATAATGTATATAATCATATATATAATATATATGTAATTTTTTTTCACAAATTTTTTTTGACAATACTGGGGCTTGAACTAAAGTCTGGGACATTTTTCCTTTAAGCTCTTTTACTTAGAGATGGTGCTCTACCACTTGAGCCACACTTCCACTTCTGGCCTTTGGGTGGTTAATTGGAGATAAGAGTCTCACAGACTTTCCTGCTGGGGCTGGCTTCAAACCATGATTCTCAGATCTCAGCCTGCTGAGTAGCTAGGATCAGAGATGTGAACCACCAGTGCCTGGTACTTTTGTTTCTTAAATTTTCTCATTGTCTTTTGGAGCAATTTCTCTGTACTTTTGTGATTTCTCATATTCTGCTTGAGCCAAACAATGATAAAATTAAAAAGAATTTTTTTTTTTTTTTGTGGTCGTGGGGCTTGAACTCTGGGCGCTGTCCCTCAGCTCTTCAGCTCAAGGCGAGCACTCTACCACTTGAGCTACAGCGCCACTTCCGGTTTTCTGGTGGTTTATTGGAGATAGGAGTCTCACGGTCTTTCCTGCCCGGGCTGGCTTTGAACCTCGATTCTCAGATCTCAGCCTCCTGAGTAGCTAGGATTACAGGCGTGAGCCACCAGCGCCCGGCTAAAATTAAAAAGAATTTATAGACATTCTTAAATACTTATATATGTCGTTATATACAGTGCCATTCCTATTCTATGTGCTGTGTGAATTTCATACCTGTCATGTCACAGGATCAGCAATTAGAGCTGTAAAGCACAGGGTCCAATGCTCTCATTTTTCCTTCCTTAGGTCCATCCTCAGCAGCACCGACTCCTTTTTGAAGTGTTTGATGAAAATCGATTGGTAAGTTTTATTGCATAGGGAGGGAGACGGGAGAAGAAGAGTGGGCTTCATTGGTTCAGCCCAGGGAAGTGAGAGAGCTGCAGAGAGCTGCTTAGGGAGACACAATGTTTTCTCTGTTTCCTGGGTTACTCTCTCTGCTCATTCTCTTACCCATCACCTGCTCTGTTTCTCATCAGATTATGAATTCTCACCCTTGGTCTGTGGTGTCTGGAGGTAACAGCAGCAGGATCGCTTTATCTTGCCTTCCCTCCTAGTCTTTCCTGAGTCTTGATTGGTAGCCAAGGCTCCAGAGCCTTTACCCTGAGTATCTTCTGTTTTGTGTTCCTGGCTTTTCGTGAGATAACCTCCATCCAATTTCAACTTTGCTCCTCTCCTCTCTTAACTCTGCCCAGGACATCTGTATGCTACACTGATAAGGAAGGATCTGATAAAGTCCTCTAGAAAATTGGCAGCTCTTACATGGGTCAAAGGCAAAGGCAGTCTGATTTCCTTTTTATAGAATGATTGTTCTGATCCCTAAATTATCATTAAGGTCTATGCTTTGTCCTCATTTTAGCTCATTGGAAGGTGTGTGTGTGTGTGTGTATTGGTCCTGGGGCTTGAACTGTCTGAGCTTTAGTGTTCAAGGCTAGTGTTCTACCCACTGGAGCCACAGTTCTATTTTTGTTGTTGTTGTTTAATTGGAGATAAGGATCTCATGGCCTTTCCTGCCCAGGCTGGCTTCAAACCTCAATTCTGAGATCTCAGCCTCCTGAGTAGCTGGGATTACAAGTGTGATCCACCAGCACCAGGCTTTCTGATGTCTTTTTTTTCCTAACCATTTTTTTATTTAGCATTTTACATTTCTATAAGTTATATTAGCTTTCCATCTCCAAAACAAAATATTTGAGGAAATCTACTTAAAAAGGGAAAAGCTTTGAAACAGGCCCTGGAAGTTGAAGCTTTTAATCCTATCTGCACAGGAGGCTGAGATCTGAGGATTGTGCTTTCAAGGCAGCCACAGTGAAGTCTGTGAGACTCTTCTCTCCATTTAACTATCAAAAAGCAAAAGTGAAGCTCTGGCTTAAGTGGTAAAGCAAAAAACTCTTGGACAGTGCCCAGGCCTGAGTTCAAGCTCTAGGACCAACAACGCCCCCCACCCCCCCCCACACACACAAAAAAAAAAACAGAGAGAAAAAAGTCTTATTTTTGTTATTAGTGTGAGAGGCTTCATTTGGCTCTGTTCTTTCTGGGCCTGTGGAGAGGTAGAACACCAAGGTAAAATGCATGGTTGACAAAGAAAGAGATTGCTTTTTTATCAGTGCCTATCACGCTTACCCTTAAGCTATGAATCTGTAAATAGACTCATCTTTTTATTCTTTTTCTTTTTCCTTTTTTTTTTCTTTCTTTTTTTGGTCTGTCAAGGGGCTTGAACTTGGGGCCTGGGTGCTTTTGCTCAAGACTAGTGCTCTACCACTTTGAGGTACACCCCACTTCCCTGTGAAAGTTCTCAAAAAAATGGGAAGTGGTGCTTTGGCTCAAAGTGGTAGAGTGCTAGCTTTGAGCAAAAGAGCTCAGAGACAGAGCCCAGGCTCTGAATGCAAGCCCCACAACTGACCAAAAAAAAAAAAAAAAAGTAGGCAATATAGATATATAGATTGCATTTCTCCAGCTTTTTTTTTTTCTTTTTCTGCTTATGTGGTGCTAAGGAATTGAACCCAGGGCCTCATACGTGCAAGGCAAGCACTCTACCACTGAGCCACCTTCCCAGCCTGTATAGATTCCTTTTCTCATCTTAAGACTGGAGGTTTGTAAAATACAATCATTCTGGTGATGGTTATGGTGGTGATAGGCGGTACCACTTCATAATGGTGTGTCCTTAAAAAAAAATATCTAAGCAGTGTAGAAATTAGCAGTGTCACTGCTCTAAGAAATACACCTGCACACATTCAGCCCTGGAAGGGTTTAGGAAATGTCTGGGTTCCGGGTGGGGCCACTGCACTTGTGAGTTTTAATGGTTGCATTGATTACGGTTGGAGACGGAGGGAGGGAGAGACGGAGATTTTAAGGGCTTGATTTATGTGTTTGTGGAAGCTGGCAAGTGTGCAATCAGTGGGAAAAGCCAGGGAACTGGGAAGATAGGCAGGCTTTCTAAAGTGGAGAGTTGAGGCAGAATTGCTTCTTTGGGGGAAACTTCTTGTCTTTATGGCCTTCAACTAATTGACTATTTGCATTATGGAATACAATCAAATGTCCTCAAAGTTTGACAATTTCAGTGTTAATCATATCTCTGGTATGTGTTGAGGGGGTGGTTTACTGGGCCTTGAACCCAGGGCTTGGGAGCTGTCCCTTAGCTTTTTTTGCTCAAGGCTGGTACCCTATCATTCAAGCCACACCTCTACTTTCAGCTTTTTGGTGATTAATTGGAAGTAAGAGTCTCTTGCTGGGCACTGGTGGGCTTATGCCTATAATCCTAGCCACTCAGGAGGCTGAGATCTGTGGATCGTGGTTCAAAGCCAGCCATGATAGGAAAGTCTTTGAGACTCTTAACCTCTTAAGCAACAGAAAAGCCAGAAGTGGCAGTGTGGCTCAAGTGGTAGAATGCAATCCTTGAGCAAAAAAAAAAAAGTTCAGAGACAGTTCCCAGGCTCTGATTTCATGCCCCCAGGACTGTGACTCTCCCTCCCCCAGGAAAAAAAAAAAGAATCTCATCGAGAATCTCACAGACTTTCCTACCCAGGCTGGCTTTGAACCTGGATCCTCTGATCTCAGCCTCCTGAGTAGCTAGGATGTCAGGTATATGTCACCAGTACCTGGCTGTTCATTTTAACTTCTGAAATACCTTCAGAGCAGGACCTAAACTAACATGTGACCAGAAGTAAGGCACCATGACTCTGTGCATCTAGTTGCTGTGTGCAGTTAACTATCACAGTGGACGTCAGCCCTTAAGGTTCGTCAACTGTTAGCATTACCTAGAGCTTATCTGTGTCATGTCGTTCTTCATCATGTCATTCTGTGTGTAAATAATAACAACACAGCTCAGAGTGGGGGGTCCCGTGACCTTTAGTCCTACCAGGAATAGGAAAATCTGTAGGACTACTATGGACGCCTCCTCCTGGGTGAGGGGGGTGAGGCCTGATGCCCAGGCCCCCTGCCTTGAGATGAGGCTTGACTACGCACCTTGCAGCCTCTGTGAGACTGAGGGGCAACATTTGCCCCAGGCGCTGATTCCCGGTGTGGCTGCACTAATTGTAATTCAGATCCTAGAAGTACAGGATTCTCAGTCTTTCTAGAATCAAAGCTCTAATGAGAGTGCTAGAGAGTACACAGGATTCTCTTGCTTTACTTTCTCTTATCTGAAACTCTCTCTTTAAATCTTTCAAGTATCATTCCTTCTTGTCTAGCTACAGAGTTGTTTTTTTTTTTCATCTTTCTCTTCTTCTTCTCCTTTTAAATTTCTTTAGAAGCAGCAATGGATCATCTTTTTAAAAGAAATCATAAAACAAAGCATGAGACAACCAGGCATTGGTAGCTCACACCTATAATCCAAACTACTACTTAGGAGGCTGAGAGCTAAAGATTGAGGTTCCAAGCTAGCCCAGGCAGGAAAGTCCCGAGACAAGCTCTTACCTCCAGTTAACCACCAAAAAAGTCAAACGTGAAGCTGTAGTTCAAATGGTATAGAGCATCAGTCCTGAGCAGAAGAAGCTAGGGGACAGCATTCAGGCCCTGAGTTCAAGTTTCAGTACTGGCGCGTGCGCACATACACACACACACACGCACACACACGAATAAAGAAAAAACAAGGGTATTTATTGAAGTCTTTAAAATCACAAGGAAATAGGTTTTATAAAACCAATGTACTGTGATAAGTGTATTACTAAGTTTACAACCATTATATACCTTCTTAGAAATGTCTCCTTTGAGTCAAATAAAATTCAAGAAATTCCTCTTTATGTTTTATCATGTCTTAATTGATTAAAAATTCTGTGTAAAAATTGTGATTAAAAACAGACCTAACTTCAGCCATTTTCTTGTTTAAACAAAGTACGGGTATATATTTTACATATTTGCTTTTACTTAGGGCGAAAAAAAAAACTTAGAAAAATACAACTGGGGTGTAGTTCCATGTGGTAAACAGCTCAGCTGTTTTCCTTTTTACTTTCCTATGAATGAGCCAGTATATATTTATTGCTAGACTTTCAGCTATAAAATTCAGGTAAGAGGTTTAAATATACCCTAGAGTATTATTTAAAAATAAATTTGTTTCTTCCAAACAGAATACCAACCTTGGTCTATGACATTTGGGAGAGAAATTAAAATATTACACTTTATTGCCCTAGTAAACTGAAAATAAAGGTTAAATAAATACAAAGCCAAAAAGGAAAAAAATATATATATATATATACACACACACACATACAAAATCCCAACCTCTGGAAAGACAAACAGCCTACTGTTCCCTACAGTGAGAGTTTTATCAGCATGGGTAAGCAATTCCACCTTGAGGCCAGCTCAAAAATGTAAACAAGTATGCACTCTGTTTATATGAAGAAATATGCATGGGTTGTATTTCTTTATACATATCAAACAGCGACTTGGATTGTTTCAAAGCACCCGTAGGGGGCAGCAAAGAGCTCCCAAGCGGGTTGTTTTTTTTTTTTTTTCCCCAGAACAGAATTGGCATTGAGATATGTTTATTTGATGTGTGAAACCCTGTTTAGACTTCTTTATGTACCTCCCTCTTAAGTGAATGTATTGCAGAGACAGTGGAATAAAATATCCAGTGTGTTCAGACTAGATTGGGGTATAGTTTTTCTGTCTAATCTGCATATGTTTTTAATGGAATGTTTGCTTTGGCTATTTCTTGGCAAAGTTTTTAATAGTCAAAATATAAATGGCATCATTTAAACACTGTTCTAGTTGGCAGCACAAGGTCTTAAAATTACAGGAGAAAATAACTTGGTGACAGCGTCTCTTAAAACTTTTTTTCTTTTCTTTTCTTTCTTCCCCCACTTTTT